TCCTAAAAGTTCATATTTTTCAATTTAAAAAGCAAAAAAAGAAAATTTTCAAAAAGCTCTCGTAAGGGACTGCAGAATTTGATTCTGAACAACTTTTGTATCAAGAGTTTTGTTTCAAAATGCTTGCTTCGAGCGAAACCAGCCGTAAGGGTTTTTTCAAAATACTTCTAGCTGTAAAATTTCCTCGGAAGGTGAAAATTAAATTTCTCCGTCAAACTTCATTTGGGAACGATGTAAAATTTTGCTCCTTATACAAATTAACGTTCTCTATCGAACTACGCTAGAATCAACTCTTCATATCAAAAAATGAAGTTTTTATTGAAATTTTAAAAATAGGGCAAAAACCTAGAAAAAAACTTAAAAAATTTTTTTTATCAAAAACTATAAATCCGGGAACTGAAAGCTTTGTTGAGACGTATACTTCGAAGTGTCCTCCACAAACTGCTGGAACGGGTGAATTACCGGCATACCTGCTTAAATCATTCACCTTAAAAGCACATTTCTCAATATCAAATATTTCATTGTTATCTAGATAAACATGGAACACAATTCAACCGTTACAAGCAATTGCTATACCTATATGTTTTTTGCACAAAACATTATTCATAAGGTTCGACAACCGAAACGTAAGCATCCAAACTTATTTATTTTTGCTCGTGTTTTTGTGCGTGCTGCCATACGTATAGAAAACAGCCACGTGCAGGTACATGTGACTGTAATAGAGCAAATTCTTTGAGCTTTAATAAATAGACATTTCAACAGACTAATTTTGTACTTCCTACGCTGATTACTGGTCCATTTTAAATATAGACTATTTTGTGTACTATATAAGACAAAATATGATCTACGTATTTTAAGTATATGTCAGGCTTTTCCCTCCGAAATTCTTTGACTTTCAGCTGAAGATCACTCATGGAAAATGTGTCAGAATAGGCGCTAAAGGACTTCCCATTGCTAGATGGTGTCCCATTTTAGATGGTGTACGTTGCAGGTCTCTGAAAGAGTAGTTCGCTATTTCTTCAAATCCCGTGACACCCGCTACATCCACAATATGTAAACGCTAGCATAGAGTGCCGTCGGCAAATCTATGCAAGTCCAAGGTTGTTAATAAAAAAATTCGGTTCTCTAGATCCATTTGCACGTGTTCTGTGGAGATTATTGACTTGAAGAAAGAACTTGCTGAGAATATGAAAAAAGTCATTCCGCGAACTCAAGATTTCAACTCTCAGTTTCCAACTTTTCAGTGGAATTTTTTAGAGAACAAATCACAAATAATACAGAGATTGTTTGAAAGGTATCAAAAAATCAAGATGAAGTTCCATTCTGAATAAGAAAATTGATCCCACAAGTCGCATAGCTATGCCGCAGGGATGTAATGTATATAGATGTAGTGCCGCTGTGAAAGCAAAACGTGTAACAGCCATTCATCATGATATTAAGCATCGTCTTGAACAGATATTAGCACAAAATAGTCGTCGACATAATTCCTCAAAGAACTTTCTATGAATGTTTGAGAAGTTGTTTTCAGTGACGGCTTAGTCAAATTTTTTCATGAGAAATGCACTGTACTTCAGCTGTGTTTCGCCCATCCAGGAAGTTATTTTTCTTAAAACGATCGAGAACACAATTATTCATAGTGTTCCGATAATTTAATACTTTCTTAAATTATTTGTTCAGCAGACATAGTCTATCGAATATCGTTAAATTTTTAGATTATACGTTACTACACGGTCCGACGATGAATGCATCCTCCTCATTTGTGATAGCAGCTTTCTTCTGTTTGATCTATGCCAAATTACTTCTTTTTGACACTTTAAAGACAACGAATGAGATAGAAAATTTTGAATATGCCACATGCAAGAATAAGTATTATAACATTTCCTTTCAAGCAGATGTTGTAGGAATACAAAAGCTACCACATATTCAGAAACACACTTGGCTGATACCTATTTTGCAGAAACTCTATGGGATAATGATTGGTTTCCACTGTCTTACGGCACTTGATCTCCTTATTCATATTTTTATTTGGCTATTCCGACCGAAACATATTCTACCATCTATTAATACTGAGTTGATGCCGAACAACTATCCTCTTGTCATGGTTCAACTTCCAATGTATAACGAACTAGTTTTTTGTCAATCTATTATTGACTGTGTTTGTAATTTTGAGTACCCGAAAAATCGTCTCTACATTCGTGTTCTCGATGATTCGATAGACAAAACAATACTTAATCTTGTCGATAAACGCGTACTGATGTGGCGCAAACGGGGCATTCAAATAGATATTCAACGACGACCTTGTCGGGATGGTTTTAAAGCGGGAAGTCTAAATGAGGCCATGCTCTACACTCGAGGTGCGGAATACATTGCTCTGTTCGATGTTGACTTTTTACCCGAGCGTGATTTTCTCTTGCGAACTATTCCGTATTTAGTTGCCAACCCTAACGCTGCTTTTGTTCAAGCCCGATGGACTTTTACCAATGCGAGAGAATCGTTCTTGACCCGAATGCAAGAAATATCCTTAAACTATCATCACAAATGTGAACAAGAAGCGCGCTCTCGAACATCGTTCTTCATGACTTTCAATGGAACGGGCGGTGTGTGGAGAACAGCGGCTATCGAACAGTCTGGTGGTTGGAATACGGACACATTGGTAGAAGATTTAGATTTAGCATTGCGTGCGTATCTCAACGGATGGACATCAATATATTTAACTGATGTCAAATGTCTGAGTGAACTTCCACCAACTTTCACTTCTTATCTATCACAGCAGCATCGATGGACAAGCGGGCCCATTCGGGTGTTTCGAAAATTGATTGTAAGAGTTTGGAATACGAAACAAATCGGCTTCTTTCAGAAAATTGTATGCACATGTTTTCTGATGCGTTGCTTCATTCATTTAATCAATGTTTCATATTTTCTGATACTCCTGCCATTAACAATCTGGTTGCCTGAAATTAGTGTATTTTACATGGCGAATATTTGTCTATCCGTAATAATTTCGATGTCACACATCATTTTCACACCAAACGGACTCCTCTGGGCCTACGCCTACGTTTTGTTCGAAAATGCTATGTGCTTGTTTAAAGCAAGCGCCACAATATCGGGTCTGTTTAATTTTGGCCTCGCAAAAGTTTGGCATGTTACACCAAAATACGCACGAAAAATATACAACGATTCGCCAGTTGTGGCAGCAAGAACAGCGAACAGTGAAATCAATGATCCTCCTGAACACATTTACTTCTCCAAAATCTTTAAGTTACATAAACGCAATCTTTTAATGGGAGTTTTTCTACTCATTTGTTCTTACTGTGCCTTTCAGACTCATCAGTACGGATTATCTGTGTATACTTTTCCCATTGGGATTATGTACATGATTTTTGCATTTGGCTATCTCGGGCGTCCTGAATAGACTATCCTCCATTATGGAATTTTCAAACTTGAAAAGTGGTGTAAGTTTGAATCGGATTTTTGAGTGCTATTTCTTACAGCTGTTTTTCAACTTATCTTCTTACTTCTTCTAACATGTTTGTCGAACTGAGATGGTTTTATATAATAAAAAAACTACTTAAAATTTTATCCGCTATGTTAACTTTTGTTTAGAGTTTGTCTTATTGTTTCAGTTTACCAGGCAAGTTTTGTACATACTAGCCTAGCAGTTGTCGACATTAAACCACAATCATAAATTGGTATCTGTTTTCGAAGCGAAGCATTCTCCTATTATCGTCGTTAATCTTCTACAACCTGATCACATCTTTTTGTCATCAAAAGGTCTTGGAAAGGCAGATTTTCAGGTGGTGTGCGTTTCGAATGAGAAAATAAGAGGTCGTTGTTCTGGGATTTCCTCTACTGATCTCGATATTTACAATAGACAAAACATAGTCTGAAGTGTCCTCTACACAACTACCAAAGTCCGAGAAGACTGGCTACCATAGTTAGCTAGATATCACGGTTTTGCTGAGACTGATCTGTCTCATAGTTTTTAAGTCAGCTCACCTCAGAACGCGTGGAATCATAGCTCATCGACTACGCTGACTCTCGTGACAATGTTTTTTTCGGAACAGCTTCGCAGCTCTAGTAAAGACCTATCTTTGGTGATATTACCCATTCATGGTTATTTTAACTGAAAGTTAAAAAAATTCGTAAGTCAGTAAAATCGATTCGAACTACTTCAGAAGATCATGATGTATTTCATCTGCTCAATCTGATTCTGTACCGATGATTATTGTGAAATTATTTTACACTACCAACGCGTTGCTGACTGAGCAATGCATTTTGAAATTTTTATAAATATACTATTTTACTCTCTGTCGTCTTTAGTATATATACACTAAAACGTTAAACGAGCCATTGTTAAGAAAATTTAGTACGCAAGATCCGTTTGAAAAATGAAAAAACAGAAAACCTCGGACTACCTCTACCGGACCAGATGTCAAGGTTTTAAAATTGTTTCTAATTACCAGATTCTTACTTAGAATCGAATACTCATTCCGAATGAGATGTGTGTCAACGTTTGCGACAGACGCCGATCTGTAGTGTAGTACGATACCACACGATCCACTTACCTGAAACTCGATCTGACGCGAATTCGTTCTTTTTAAATTAGTAATCTGTCATCGAATACTTTATTCTATGTACAAAAAAGTCAAGGAGAAACACATTACTACGTCGACGTGTATTTCACTTTACAAATGCAACTTCTAAAAAAAAAAATTTTTGAACTGTATGGAGTATTGTGGACGTTATTAAATCTAAACAAAACACAAAATCCACTCAATCGACACCGATACATACTTCTCCTGTCTTTTAGTGGCAGTTTTCTGAGACTGTTTCACTTTCTTGCTGTTCACTATCTGAGGTATCTACTCTATATGTTTTCCGTCGATAAGAACGCCAGAGAGCCACATAATGGCAAAGAAATCAAGTTGTTATCTGTCGTATTTCAGGCGAGAGTGAGGGAAGAAAAGAACAAGTGTCTTTCGAAAATTTTTGAGTTTTATTCACTTCATATTAATTAGCATTAATGACGTATAAACACGTTTCATATCTTCTCTACGCTTAAATCGTGTAAAAGGTTTCAATGCTTTAACATAACAATTATAAGCTAGTGTTTTCTCGTTAAAATGCTGACAAATATTTCCAAATAATTCAGAATTATCAGCAATATCTTTGTATTTTTCTCTTATGCATAGAGAAACTGACTGTTCCCAATATTGTAATGCTTTATCATAAGCATTCTTATGATACCAGATCACACCTAAATTACTAAGAACTAACGCATATTCAAAATATTTTTCACTTTTTTCAGATATTAACATTGATTTTCTACAATAATTTAAAGCAAGCATTTCAAATTTCAGCAGTGCTTCTAACATTTTTTCTAAATAATCAACAGATAATTTATACTCTCGTTTTCTTCTATAATAAACTGTAATATGTTGATGTAAAAGAATAATTGTAGATTCATTGTTATGTGGCTATTTTTCCCAAATTTTTAGTGATATCAAACTATGTTTAATAGTTAAATCATTTTCATTATTTCCTCCATAATAAAATTCAATAATTTCGTTTAAATCAGCAATCTTTTGAATCTTTGATCATTTTTTGTTTCCTCTGATTTAATTTTAAAGCATTCTTTAAATATGTACAAGCTAAAATATAATTTTTCTCTATAGCGTATAACTTTCCATTTCTTCATTCATATATGACATTACATTTTTATTTTTTAATGTAATGGTTTTGTTTATTAACAATATTTTTCAAACTTATCTTCAAAGAAACAAATTTCATAGAGATCTAATGTTTTATTCTAATATTCTAACAATAATTCATTGTTTCATTGATCAGACGTACAAAAACAACGACCGATAGAATAATTCAAATATGCAATTTCTGTTTTATTATTCTGTATCTCATTTTCATTTATTAACGTTAATAATTTTCCATAATATTTAACTGGTAGTTCGTAATCAAATTTAAGAGTCACCCATCTACGATGTCTGACATTTGGGAACAGGAGGTCAATCAAAATTGAACAATTCTTTTTTCATACGCCCATGAAAGTTAGAATCAATCCGCGTGAACTTCACTATTAGCAAAATTCTAAGTAGTGTAGCACAAGTACGCAAGCTTTGATCTTAGAAGGCGTTTTTTTTTTAAAAACGTCGATTTTCTCACTACGTTATAATAAAAATGCTATGAAAACGCAAAAAACTCGAAGTCTTTATTTCTAAAAATGCTATAAATCCGAGAACCGAACTTTTTCTACAAAAAAAACGAAGAGCCCTCTGAGATACGTTCTTACGTACTTGTGCTAAAAGTCTCAGCTTAATCAGATGAAAATTTCATGGGGTCATACCATACGTAAGTTAGGCTCAGTAGCACAAGAACGTATTGACGCTAAAATCCGGGATGTAGGAAATCCCGAAAAACTAGAATCGACCTTTTTTTGTGCATAATGGAAACTTTTAAAAAGATTTACATCCTTGGAGGGACGATGGGAGGAAGGTAGGAGGTATCTCATTTAAAACCACCTTTTCACTAAACAATTTCAGAAAATACAAAATGTTATATGAAAAAAAAGTTTATATCAGTTGCTGATATAAACCAAAGTTTTTCAGCTTTCTGAAAATGATATATATTGAGTACTTTCAACATGAGCATCGAACTCAGTATGCAAATTTACCTTGGAATTGTAATCATAAAGTAGTATCGTATCATTTTCAGCAAGCTGAAAAAGTCATAAAAACTGGAAAAATCAAATTTTATGGGGTTTATACTTACAAGGCATTGAGTTGGGGCAAATCGTATCTTGTGCGACCTGACAGTCCATGTACAGTAGGCATTTCTATAACAAGTAATGAATGAAAAACGCGTTTTTAACGCGATGCAACGCAAGACTGGCTCCAGAACCGTGAAAAAACGAAGTTTCTATAAAGAAATTGAAAAACAACCTACTACCACTACTTCAATTCAGTGCCGGACAACTAATATTCTCTCAGAGGTAACGTCTCTGCCGCATCACTCGATGAACCACAAAGAACGATATTACTTGTTTTGTTCGGTAGAGAATCTCGGTGTTATAAACACCGTTACTTCTTGTCCTTGAAAATCGTTTGGTTGAAAATATTGCCAATTTGTGTTGGAAGATGTTAGCAGCTGATTACCCGTGTGAATTTATTGCGTCTGATTACAGACGAAATATATCTAGCCTTTTCCCATAGGTGATGTTTGCTTGAGAATACATAAAAGCCGGTTCTCGACGTGCAAAACGTTCCTCGATAGCTGATAAAGTCTATCCGCTTGAGCTAAAATATTTTGGTTGAGTAAAAATATCAAACTAAACCTGTAATAATGCTTCTTGGGATAAACATGGAAGACTCTCATAAGTCAGAATGGAGATCGGGGTATCCATCACTGGATGTTGCGTAAAGAATGATCTTCTCAGTCTTTTAGACCTGGACTGTTTTTCCAAAAAAAGCGCTGTCGAATTCTGTACAAGACGTGTAGAGAATATTTTTCTGTGCTAAGTTAACGAAAAGAATTGAACAAAGAAAACAAAACACGTGACGATTGACACTATGACCAAATAAATGACGTAGCAATAGGAAGTCCTTTAGCACCTATTCTGACACATTTTTCATGAGTGTTCTTCAGCTGAAAGTCAAAGAAATTTGGGGAAAAAGCCTGACATATACTTAAATACGTAGATGGTATTTTGTCTTGTTCTTTCTTTCTTTCTTTTCTTTTTATTTTGGTAACATACCATGGTACATAATAAAAGTTCAGACATAAGAATAACTTGCAACAGAAAAAATAAACATGGAATTCAAAGTTTCTGCCTATCATGACCAACAACTAAACTTGAACAAATAAAAAAAAAGCTTCTGTATAAGATTCTTATCAATATCTTACGCATTTCCATCGATTGCCTTATATATGATTCTTGCACATATTCTATAAGATTTGATCTCTAGGGTAGTTCATGAAGGCAGACAATGGGCCATATTGATGCACTCTAGTCAGTAGACAGTTATGGCTTTGGTGATAGACGAAAATAGCCTTACTGAAAGATTAACCCAATGTATGAAAGAGGAACTTAGTATGTGCATTTAATCTTTCATAATTTTGCATTTTTATCTTTTAGGTACTGTCGTTTTTATTCTCCATCACATTATCTAATTTAGCCTTTTTTCCTATTTTAGAGGCTTATTCATCTGTTGACGAACTAAAGTATTCTTCTGCCTTTGTCTCTCTTCACCAGTTTCACAAATCTCTTCTACACTTCTGTAACAGCTGTCATCTTGAAGAATTAAACGTTATAAAACTCTTAAAATTAATCTCATCTGCTCCTCACAAATTAGTAATAACCCATTCAAGGCCACAGATTAGTAGTTAATATGTTCATTGAAAGTGTTTGATTGTCTATTTATTTGTTTACGGCACTAACACCGATAAAAGAAGAAGATTTACTCACATACTAACTTTCTCTTACTGAAAAGTCTCCGTACGACCATAGATAGAAACTTTTTCTTCGAAATTTTATAACGAAAACGTTATAACGAAACAATGTGTGCTGCTGCATGGTTCGAAGAGAGTATGATATAGTCATTTTTTTTCTTCTTGCTTACTCTGGACTAGGAATGCATCGGTTTTTCTTCGTACTTTTCAAAAATTCACAATAAATGGCTTACATCTCCGTAAAAACGAGTTGCAGCATTTTTTTAAAACGGCCATTTTGTAGAGAAAACATTTGTTTACGAATAGAACACGCGATTAAAAATTGCGATAAAGTTTGAAAACATCGTCGTTCATTAACTATTCTTTCACTAATCTTTCATAATTTTGCATTTTTATCTTTTAGGTACTGTCGTTTTTATTCTCCATCACATTATCTAATTTAGTCTTTTTTTCTGTTTTAGAGGCTCACTCATCTGTTCACGAACTAAAGTATTCTAAATTAATCTCATCTGCTCCTCACAAATTAGTAATAACCCATTCAAGGCCACAGATTAGTAGTTAATATGTTCATTGAAATTGTTTGATTGTCTATTTATTTGTTTACGGCACTAACACCGATAAAAGAAGAAGATTTACTCACATACTAACTTTCTCTTACTGAAAAGTCTCCGTACGACCATAGATAGAAACTTTTTCTTCGAAATTTTACAAGTTTCTATATGTGATCATACCTGCAAAAGTGACCTAATATTACAAGAACGTTTAAAGATTTTCAAGAAAAGATTCCTTAAAGAAAGTAAACCTCCCCTCTATAATAGAAGACCACCTGACCTTCTATTTTGTTCCTAAAGTCGAGTTCTAAAGGGTGGTCTTCTATTACGGCCAAATTTTGTCGCCTGCTAGTAGTCCAACGGTAACCCCCACGTACTTGTAGGAAACACAGTATGCGAAGCTTTCTTTAAATTTTGTTTCGGTGCTGAGAAAATTCATGTTTTCTAAATGAGACGTGAAAAAGTCAGAATTCTACCCGTAATTCTCAATTTCGCAATCAGCACTCAACTATGAGCAATAAAAATATCCTATTCGGAATCAGGATCAAAAAAAATAGAATAATGCTTAGTCTTTCAATGGAAAAAACTAGATACATTTGCAAATTTGACAGTAGGATTTTACGATTCTGCTCCTGTTCCATGGATTTGGCGGTCAGTTTCAATTTTGAAATTTTGAAATTCAGCTCTTTATTGGGTTTTTTCGATGCAACTTGATGAGCTCTATCCAACCATGCAAAAAAAGCGGAAAAAATCCTTGATGTAACTGTGAATTACCGGCATACCTGCTTAAATCATTCACCTTAAAAGCACATTTCTCAATATCAAATATTTCATTGTTATCTAGATAAACATGGAACGCAATTCAACCGTTACAAGCAATTGCTATACCTATATGTTTTTTGCACAAAACATTATTCATAAGGTTCGACAACCGAAACGTAAGCATCCAAACTTATTTATTTTTGCTCGTGTTTTTGTGCGTGCT